TCACAAGGAATATACCTGTGAAATTTAAAAGCCCTTGTACTACATGTACCTGTTCAAAAGTTATGGTCGCCCGCGTGGCGTAGTGGTTAGAGCGTCTGCTCTAGAGTAGCGAAGTAAGGAGTTGATTCTTACGTCGCGGGTTCGAATCCCACTGTGGGACGTGGAGACCGGTCCTTCGGATGAGACCGTATAAACCGAGGTCCCGTGTCGCAGTAGGTGCTGGCACGAAAAAGATCCCTCACTGCTCAATGGCCGTAAGTGCCGAGTATAGGACAAAATTTGCAGCTCTCCACTGGCAAGTGGTGGCGTCTCCATATGAGTGAAAAATTCTCGAGAGGGACGTTAAACAAAATACAATCAATCAATCAAAAGTTATGGCCAAGGTTAAAGTTTTTTAAAAAGTGGGTCAAGAAGTCAAAAAATATTTTCACCCATGGAAAGGTCTTGTCACGAAGAATATACACCTGAGATATGAAAGCCCTAGCACCAACTGTTCAAAAGTTATGGCAAAGGTTAAAGTTGGGTAAATTTTTGCAAAAGTGGGTCAAACTCCAAGGTCAAGAGGTCAAAAATGTTGGTACCGGAAGGAAGGCCTTGTCACAAGGTAAATACATGTGAAATATGAAAGCCATGGCTCCAACCAATAAAAGGTTATGGGCAATGTTAAAGTTTTTGCGGACAAACAGACAAACATATAAACAGACAAACAGACTGACAGACGGACGGACAGGGCAATAACTATATACCCCGAATCTTCGATTACTGAGGCATAAAAACATCTTGCCAATTCATTAGTAAAAACCTGGCAAAAATATTGAACAATAAAAATCATATATATTTGGAAAAAAATTCCAACATAATGATTATTCATTATATACTCTGTTCATAAGTTACATGTTTTTAACATAGGAATATCTTTGAAGATCAGGCTGAACTACAAACTTTTGCTTATTTCAATTTATTAATATTTCAGTTATCTAGTACATGTAAATATGAGGGGACAAAAACATAACGCAGTGGATTTTTTTTTCATATTTTATTATCTTAACATATAACAACGAGGAATATTGTACATCCAGTAATGATCGGGATTGTTTCTTTGTCCCTTGTTCTTTGTGGTTATGAATCCGCCCAAAAAGATTAATATATTTAAACGTTTCTTTGGGTTTCGACGAATAAGCAGCTGCATGTATGAAATTTGCATCTGAGAAAAGGAGTATTTCTTTTTTATATTTAAAAGTGTTCATCCAATTTTATGTAATTAATCTAAAATTTTGATTAAATTTGAATTATAAAAGTTATTGCATTGCAATATAATTTATTCCAGACAGTCGTAAAAGAAACATAAATAGAAAATTATGGGTATTTGTAGAAGATATTCAATGTTTTGTAGTTGGGTATGAAACTTATGTCAGGAGTGGGATAGAGTTTTTGACAAAGCACGAGTGAAAATAAAAAAGAAAACCCGTCCCATGAGTGAAATAAATTTCATATTAAACTACAAAACATTCAATTTTCTGTTAATTACATTTTCTTTGATTGTCCTTTTGCCTCTGTTTTTGTGAAGCAATGTCGTAGACTGTGACACCATACTTGAGACGTTATAGCTAAGCAACTGTGAGATTGAAAACTGTAAACATGGATTTAAACATCAATTTGGAGAAACTTGGCAGTTTTAGTCTCTGTTAGGATGGTTTATTTACTCTGGCTGTTTTGTAACAGACTAGGGGGTATTGCTTACAACACTCTTTGTGAAGGAAAGGAAAATCGAGTTTTTTCCGCACTTCTGATATATTTTCACTTAACTTGATATTGTTTCACACTGTGTAAAAATATTTTTATTCAATGAAAAAATTATAGTATCTCACTGTTGAAATTGTAATAAATAGTACTAGAATTCAAGTACGAGTCTGGTAAAAAAAAAATGCAAATAATCGATTCAAATATAAGAATGCATTTAGAAAGTTTATAAATTGCGGCTGGTCGTGTTTTTATACGCAGATCCGACGACTATACTTACACAAAATCAGTGCACATCTTTCAAAAGCGTTGATAAAAATAATGAACATGCGGACAATTTGCATCATCTGCCTGTAAATTGATGATATTATAAGATGAATTAAATGGTTACAATTATAACTCAGACCATCATCACAACACAAGTGCTTTAAATGGGTAAATAAGAAAAAAAAGATATTAGAATTTGTTACACTCTTCCGACTGTGTAAATCTGTTAACCCGCAACAGAGTTATCGTCCTTGTCGGTGGCACATTTTAAACTTCCTTGGTAACCGGTGTGTAACACATTTTAGGAATCAAGCAGCTAAGGTAAAACTATTTAGTCAACATGCAATTAAGTCTGTCAATCATTATTCTGACTTGCTTATTAAGATACCTTCAATCGAAAAAGTTTTAAGTCAGCAGAGCACAAAGGGGTCGTAGAGGAGGGGCGTGTTTGAAATTTGTATGGTAAGGCCGTAGACACGATTGGAGGGGAGGAATATTTCAAAGTGTGCAGATATGTATATCATTCTACTAGTATTATTCTTACTCTTTTCAAACATTTTATTAAATGGAAATTTGTTTATTCCAAAAATTTCATTTAGGATTTTTGGCGTGTTGCGTATGTCTAGACATTTCTGATTTAAAATTTAAGTGAAATAATCCCTATTTTTACATATATTTGACTCTGTGATTGAAAAGAAAATAAGATTGATGCATTTTGAAAATGACTTCCATATATTTATTTCGAGAAATACAAGGATATGTTGAACATGTTGGTATTCAGAAATTCAATAGCTCTATTAGTAGTATATTCATCAGAAGATCTCGAGTGTAACGATGAAAAATAGAACAACCACGCAAGCCTTTGTGCAGTGAGAAACCTGTTTTAAAGTGACATGGTCTAAAAGTTGCCTTTGTGTCGAACATAACCTACAAAAAATAAGCTCTATCTTTTTATCTCAAGTTTGATTTTTATTGTATATAGTACCTATGTGCTTGGTGAGAGTTTTAATGACGTTTTATTGATGACTTAGCACAGCTTCGATAAATTCAATGCCTGTGAGGCACATGTTTTACTGATAATTTTATTCTTGTAGACGTAGACACCTACTGGCTTACAGATAAAATATAGATATGTTGAATGAATATATCCATGAATGGAACTTATGATTAACGAAGACCAACTCTATAATAAGAGAGATGGCTTTTCTAGTAAAAATCCTAATATTACTCATAATATAATTGAGACCTTTGAGTAGTCAATTGAATCAAACCCGCGACATATGATGGAAACATTAACTTCTTTTTATTTCCTTTTGCCTATACTTCTCAAATTGTTTTATTATATTTGAAATAAAATATTCAAATCCAGTTTTAAAATCCTAAAAAATTAAATAAGTTCTATCTTTTTATGAACCATTTTAAAAATGCTTTAATATATCAAGTACCATAAAATTATGTAGAATCTTATTAATATTACATTTTTTTCATAAAGATTTATTAATTTAAAATTTAGATTGCATAACATAATTATGATTCATTATTCCTATATTATTTTCTGTTCAAAAAAAAAAAAAAAAAAAAAAAAAAAAAAAAAAAAAAAAAATCTAGATATTTAGAGGTATACTAGATGTTCATAGAAAATGATATATTTTTGCTGTGTTACAAGTATATATCCAAATTTTATTTGAGATTAAAGAAAAAGTCTAAGATTAACCATAATGATCAAATATTAAGATTTAAGGAAGAAAGAGCACTGAAGTCTATATAGGGTATCTTGGCAAAAATCTCTTAAATGTGAACAAATCAGATTTTTGAACATCAATTTTTGGTAGTAATAGAGTAAACTTATTTAATTATAAATTGTGATTTTTATTATAATTACCTTTGAAGAAATCTGAAAGACCAATCTTCACAATGCAACAAATTAGTGGTCATGCACTAGATGATATGCAGATACTCAAGACCACATTTTTCTAGAGAAAAAAGTGTTTGTCGATTTTGTAAATTTTTTATTGAAAAATGAGAATCAGTTTGTATCATGTTCTATTTTCGCAAATTCTATTGTCAATACAATGACTTTGTCAGCAAATACAATCTATCATTAAGTCGATTGCTGACTGACGTTTTTCACACTAATTGTTAGGCAATTATTTACACTAAACTGTCTACGTATTTTTCCGTTTGCTCAAGGAGCACACGGCGTGTATGACCGGTCAACAGGGAATGCTTACCCCTCGATGGCACCTGATCCCACCGCTGATGTTTTTAGTGGTCCGTGTTTGCTCTGCTCCCGATTTGTATTGTTTCAATGGTCTTTTGAGCTTGATTACTGTTCGTTATCCCCATATTGCATTATGGCAAATGTTGATTATAATATACGATTTACTTCATGCATAATTATTAAGTAAAATTCCTATAATTGACAATAACCCCTCTGAAATGGCGAAATGGCAGGACTTCCTGTCATGCTATAAAAATTGCTTTAATTTCAGAAGAGAAAGGCTTCAAAATATGAGTATACAAATACATGTATGCAGTGATTATAAATTACGTTTGTTAATTTGATAAGATTAATACATTCAATGTTATAAGTGTTCGTTATTTTGTTGTATTCATGATAATTTTATGTTTGTTAATTTGATATTGTTGATATATTTAATCTTATAAATGTTCATTATTTTATTGTATTCATGACTATAAGCCAAAGGATGACGGTGTTGTCAATAAATAAACGGAATAAAGTGAATAAAATCTTTTTGTGGAAATAATTTGCTTAAGCCTGTTAAAGCGTCTGTTAAAATATCTCTATAAAACATCTGTTCTGTATTTCTGAGATATCCAAACTGTGTGTATGAACAGTGATTATACAGTGCTAAGTCTCCCCTATTGAAAATGTATAACAAGTCATTTATCACTTAAAATAAATTTCTTTTAATTCTACATGTAATCTACACGTTGTTGATCAAACCGAAATCTTAACGTATTGAAATTCACATTTCATTTTCAGATGCAGGTAAAATGGCTGTGGATGGAATAGGTTTATCCGCAGTACTGTGTGAACTCTGTGAAAATGAACCAGCACAATCCTTCTGTCGCACTTGCAGTGGAAATCTGTGTGAAAAGTGTGCTACAGAACACAAAGGTAAAAAGATTTTCCACCGACATGATGTTGTCAAAATGGCACTCACAAGAAAAATGGAAATTGATGGATTTGGATATTGTCGAGAGCATCCAGAAAGCAGATATGAATTGTGTTGTCAAGAGTGTACCGTCCCAGTGTGTACAAAATGCATAGCCGGTCCTCACAATGGTCACAAAATGACCGATATACCCAGTGTCTATATGGAAGCTAAAAGCAAAATAACATCAAAGGTTAATGAAATCGAAACATCTCAATATCTAGAACACAGGAAAAATTTAGATGATTTAGACAATTTTCTGAGTGACATTAATAGACAAACAAACAACTTGGAAAAAAGTGTTTTAAGCCGATCAAAAGAGCTGACAGACCTTGTTCATGCAATTGAGAAAGATATTTTAAAGAAAATATCTAAGGATAAAGAGCAACTGGTCAAACTGATCGTAAGTTATAAAGAAGAGGTTACAGAACATCTCTCTTCATTAAGAAGCCTTCAGAATACTTTGATACAGGAAAGAGATTCTGAAAGTATGACGGACCTAATTTTGTACGCGAGAAACAGTTTAGAAGTCCCTCATAGCAATAAAAATGTCCTTACATTTTCTTTTCAATCAGGTCTTATTAATGTTATAAAGCAATTTCCTGACGAATTAAGAAATCTTTTTGGCTTCTACTTTCCTTCAACAATAGTAGTACAAAGAAGAAAACAAATCATGGATACAGCAAAAGAAGAAAAGAGATTTAAAACTGCAATAACATACCCAGTTGGTTTAGTTTGTTCTCTGTTGAATGTTGATATTGCTTGGATTCGGGGAGGGCAAGCAGAAATAAAGAAAATGAATATACAAGGCAATGAACTGGCAACTGTCAAGACTCTCACTAAAGACGGGCGGCCCTCTGGTCTAATCGAGTTGGACGACGGAAGTATATTCTACAGTGATATCGACAATAAACAGGTGAAAAAGTTATCCAAGGATTTGCAAGAAGAAGAAAAAACAAAATTGGACTGGCATCCAATGGGACTGTGTATCAGTCGAAGCGGGCATATCCTTGTCTGTACAGCTTTTCTATCAGGGGAGGCTGTAGATCCTTCTGACCGGGGGAAAGTTTTGAGAATGAGCTACAAAGGACTTATATTGCAGGAAATTGAGAAAGACGGTGAAGAAAAAAACTTGTACAGCAGACCGATTTGTATTTCTGAAAATATCAACCAAGATATTTGTGTATCGGACGTCTTTAGGTATTCCATAATCGTTGTTGACAGAAGTGGTTTCTTCCGATTTGCCTACAGTGGTGGGGGTATTCATGAGAGTAGAGAAGACTTTTGGCCTACCGAACTAGATACCGACAGTATGGGAAATATCGCTGTTTCTGACAATAGAAACAATTTGGTGCATTTACTGGACATTGATGGTAATCTTGTAAAATATTTGCTAACCTCAAGTGACGGTATTTCTGAGCCAAGGGGTTTAAAAGTTGACATTGAAGATAGACTTTGGGTAACAGAAGTGAGAACTGGATACGTGAAAATATTCAAGTATTTGGATTAGCTTCATTTTTATTATTTAAGTATTGTAATAATACGATTGTTTGAAAGGCTAACAAACGTATAATCTGAATTATCCAACAATTAATGAGTTAAAGCATCGCTGTATTTTTCAAGCAAAGTAAATTGATTTATAATGCTAAAAGGTATGGATTAAATATTATAAAAAGAAGGAATATCGTTTGAACAGGACTCTTTCGCTTCGTATGTAGTGGAGGGTATTCATAAAGATAGAGAGGAATTTGAGCCCAAGGAACTAGATACCAAACAGTATGGGAGACATTACGCTCTCTGATCATAGAAATAATTTGGCTCATTTACTAGATTTTAATGGAAATCTAGTAAGATATATACTAACCACAAAAAAGACGGTATTTCTGGGCCAAGGGGCTTAAAAGTTGACGAAGAAGACAGAATTTGGATAAGAAGGGTAAATTCTGGTTGTGTGAAAATATTCAACTGAGTCGCGTAAGACTTTTTCAGATGGATGGGAATTATAGTATTGATCAATTGTTTAAAAGGCTGAGTAATATACGTGCAGAACAATCTGGCTTTACCTACAGTTTTGAGCGAAGTTTAGGTGTGTTAGGAAAATTGAAAAAAAAATTGTTTAATTTATGATATTTGATTCGATTTTTACATTTAAAACGTGGTCAGGGGCCCAAGGGCCTTAACGGTCACCTACGTATAATAAAACCATGTAAAAGATCCATAGAATGGCTGTCTAATTAGTAGATAATAAAACAAAATGAACTAATAGATGAAAATATATTGCCCAAAACAACAGAAATAGGGCGATCAGGGATTAACAAAACGTTAGTCTAGTACTCGGCAACAACACATAAAGTGGATTTATTTGGTTGCTTGATGAAACAGTACAAACTACACTCTCATTAGTAACTAAATAAACTAAACAACACATTAGGACATGAGCTTAAGTAGCAGTTTACACATGGTAGATCCAGCACAATCCCTCTAACACTGATCTCTTGGTCGTTGATCAACGTATTATGTAAGCCTTTCAATTGCCGCTAAGGTTCTATAGAAAGAACGACAAGTATTCCTTTTAAAGGAATGATCGGCATGGAATTTTAAAATCAGCATTATGAAACGTCTTGAAATAAGTTTGTAGACATTTCTTTTATTTTAATTGATTTAAATTAATATTTTTCTATGAGTATTAATATACATGTATATATAATACCAATATCATATCAGATTTAAATTGGAGAAGAAAATTAACCGGGCAATGTTGTTATAATGAGTTACAGTAGTATGACCACATTATGTTGGCTGTAAACTATTTTGTGACTGGAAAGATGTATAATGTTGACATTTTTGTGAAATGGGATGAGAGACGAAATCCAAATGGGCTAAACTTTGTAAAGAAAAATAACTTTGCAGATAAATTAACAATGAAACTTGTTACAGAGTTCTTAATCTGTTAATTAAAGCTGAAAGGAATTAAAACTTTATAGTACTCATGCATGTATTCTGTCCATGCAGTTCCACACCTATGGTCAATTTTATGAACGATTTTAGCTCACCTCGACGTAGTCGAGATAAGCCTATGCTATACCCCCGGCGTCGGCGTTAGCGTCGGCGTCCAGGTTAAAGTTTTAGGAGCAAGTCCATTCCCAAGTAATTATAAGCCCTACCTAGACCAAACTTGCATGCCATGATGGATAATGCATCTAGGGATGGACACTACCACACTTGCTTCGGATGCTGGATCTGACCAACATTTTCCAATTGAGTGACCAGGTTAAAGTTTTTGGAGCAGGTCCATTCCCACGTAACTATAAGCCCTACCTTGATCAAACTTGCATGCCATGATGGATGATGCATCTAGGGATGGACACTACCACACTTGCTTCGGATGCTGGATCTGACTTAGATTTTCCAGATGAGTGACCAGGTCAAAGTTTTTGGAGCAGGTCCATTCCCAAGTAACTATTAGCCCTACCTGGACCAAACTTGCATGGATGATGCATCTAGGGATGGACACTACCACACTTGCTACAGGTGCTGGATCTGACCTAGATGTTTCAGATGAGTGACCAGGTTAAAGTGTTTGGAGCAGGTCCATTCCAAAGTAACTATAAGCCCTACCTGGACCAAACTTGCATGGATGATGCATCTTGGGGTGTACGCTAACCAACCTGCTTTGGATGCTGGATTCGACCTAGATTTTCCACATGAGAGAATTTTAGCCATATTTTAACCAAATTAGCATGGATGATGTAGCTAGGGATGGTCACTTCCAGACTTGCTTTGGATTCTGAATCTGACCTACATTTTCCAGATGAGTGACCAGGATAATTTTTTGGAGTATCTATATAACATTATGGCCTGTTATGATTAAACTTGCATAGATGGTGCATCTAAGGATGAAAACTTCCAGATTTACTTTGAATATTAGAACTGACCAAAATTTTTTTGATTAGTAAACAGGATAAACTTTTTATGAACAGGTCTATTTCCAAGTAACTATAAGATGTGAAATTTGCCTTACTTAAAGATAACATTCGTCGAGGTGAGCTTCGTAATTTTTGATTACCTATGTTTTCTTATTAACAGGATCAGTAATTATGTTCAGGAATATCCCTTGCAAAGTAAGGGCTAAAAAATATTTTGAACGACCTTGTACATAATTTGCTGAATGAAACTCCAAACGAATTAAGAGCCGTGTGCAAATCAATAGATACATTTTATAATTAGAGAAAGCGTCATCGTAGGTAGATTTAAGGTTGATTTAAGGAGGAATGCCACACCAAAATTTTATTTAGCAGGTCTTTAAGAAATCCTTTTTAAACTATGGTTTCAGCAATGAAAGACTGATATTAGCTTTTAATTATTTTATACGATTTTTTTTTGAATTTTTTCAGAGCAAATTAAAAAAAAAATGTTTTATTTGCAAATAAGATGATTTAATAAATGCATAATATGAATGTCTAATAAAATATGTTAATAAAGGCTGGATAGACATTTTAATTTTTTAAATAAGAAATAGTTTATGAAAATAAAACACATAATTTGTGAATATTTTTTAAACCCATGGTTAAAATCTTCATAAAACTATTCACGATTAGGGAGAATATGTTAGTCAATCATATTTTAAGAGGAAATTGAAATGAAATTGAGAAGTTGTAGGGAAAATAATTATTTTAATATTTGGACCAATCCCGACCAAGATTAAACTGATCCCGATCAAAATTAGCACAAAATGAATAAAATAATAATTTACCACCAAGAAATCCATTTGATTTTCAAGTTTAATTACTTTTTAACCTGTATTACACCTAAACAATGCAGTATTCTTCTGAAAATGTTATCTATTTCCAGTTATTATATAATTCTGGTTGGGATCAGTTTAACTTTTGATCGGGATTGGCCAAAATTAAAAGATAATAATTTCTCTCAAATTTTGCAATTTCATTTCAATTTCTTTTTAAAACATGATTACCTGACATATTCTCCCTAGTTGTGAATAGTTTTATGAAGATTTTAACCATAGGTTTAAAAAAATATTCACAAATTATGTGTTTTATTTTCATAAATTATGTTTTATTTAAAAAATTGAAATGTCTATCCAGCCTTTATTAACATATTTTATTAGACATTCATATTACGCATTTATTAACGGCAAATTTTAAACCCTAAAGCATCTTATTAGCAAGTTTATGAAATATACTATAAGCCTATGAAAAATAGGAAAAGCAAGATGTGTTTGTGAAACACTGATGCCCCCGTATGGCAACGTATAGCAAAGGTTAAACTTTCTCAGATGCAAATCAAATATGATGGTTCCCAAAGTAAGGTCTTGTTTCGAGGAATATATCTGTGAAATATGAAAGCCCCAGCAGCAACCATTGAATAGATATGGAAAAGGTTAAAGTTTTTCAAAAGTAAGTCAAACATCAAGTTCAAGGTAAAATGGTCAAAATTAATGGTGCCCAAGGAAAGACCATCTCACAAAAAATACACAGGTGAAATATAAAAGCAGAAGCACCAATCGTTCTAGAGTTATGACCAAGGTTAAAGTTTTTAAAAAGTAGGCCAAACTCCAAGGTCAAGGTCAATGGAGTACAATTGTTGGTATCCAAAGGAAGGTCTTGTCACAAGGAAAAACATGTTAGATATGAAAGCCCTAGCTACAACTTTTCAAAAGATGTGTCCAAGATTAAAGTTTTCCAAAAGTAGGTCAAACTCCAAGATCAAGGTCAAAGGGTCAAAGTTGTTGGTATCCAAAGGAAGGTCTTGTCATAAGGATTACATATGTGAAGTATGAAAGCCCTAGCATCAGCGATTTAAAAGTAATGGCCAAGGTTAAAGTTTTTCAAAAGTAGGTCAAAGTCCAAGGTCAAAGTCAAAGGGTCAAAGTTGTTGGTATCAAAGAAAGGTCTTGTCACAAGGATTACATATGCTAAGTATGAAAGCCTTAGCTCCAACCGTTCAAAAGTTATTGCAAATTTTAAAGTTTTTCAAAAGTAGGTCAAACTCCAAGGTAAAGGTCAAAAGGTCAAAGTTGTTGAAATACAAAGGAAGATCTTGTCACAAGGATTTAACCTGTGAAGTATGAAAGCCCTAGCCCCAATTGCTCAAAAGTTATGGCCAAGGTTAAAGTTGGGAAACATTTTGCAAAACTGGGTCAAACTCCAAGGTCAAGTCAAAAGGTCAAATATGGTGGTACCCAAAGAAAGGACTTGTCACAAGGAATACACATGTGAAATATGAAAGCCATAGCTCCAACCAATCAAAAGTTATGGGCAATGTTAAAGTTTTTGCGGACAAACAGACAGACAGACAGACAGACGGACGGACAGGGCAAAAACTATATACCCCAGAATCTTCGATATTTGGGCATAAAAATTATGATTAAATAATTGAGAGCTAATATTGGCCTTTTAATGCTGAAAACACTACTTATCAGGGATGTCTTAAAGGTTTATGAAATAAAATTTTGGTGTGGCATTCCTCCTTTAAAGATTCTTTACTTACATAGACGTGTTTTCGTTTTGAAACCTTTGTACATAAATGTAGTGTACTTGTGCCATACAGATAAAGAGGGAATGGGAAAGAGTGTTCTCGT